TCCCCCGGGGACCCCGCGCTTGGGGACCCGCTCCGGGGCGCGCACACACACACCACCCCCCGCGGCTGGGCGTCCCTTTAACGGTCCAGCTGGCACCTCTGCCGGCTTAATTGGCGGGGGTTAATTAAGAGCCGGGGCTGCGGCTGTCTCTGCTCTCCCAGCTGGGCTCGGCTCCCGCGGGGGGGGGGACCCGGCGGTGACACTGGGACCCCCCGGCAGCAGTGTCGGGGCTGCGGGAGGTGAGTGGTCTCGGGGGTCCCCAGACCAGGGAAAACCCTGGGCAAAGGGGAGGGGGCTGGGGTGCCACCACCCCACGGTGAGGGGGCTGCTGAGGGACTGTCCCGTCAGTTTGGGGTGAGCCCTGAATGGGTGTCGGGGTGGCTACTGTACCCCGGGGGTTTGTAGCCCCCCAACGCAGCCCCGCTGCTCTCTGCCCTTCGGTAGAGCCAGGGCTGGGGGAGAGGCAAACCGGGGCTGCTGCTGTGGGCCCAGCCGTGCCCCCTCTCTGCCGTGGGGCAGCCCCAAAGCAGGTGGCCAGCAAGCTGGGGGTGCTGCGGGCTGGGTGCTGCTGGGGGGAGGCGCATCCCTGCGCTGCCTCTTCTCCCCCCAGTCCCGGCCTTCCGCGCTGGGCAGGGGGGCAGGAGGAGCACACCGGGGCACAGCAATGCCGCCGGGCTCCCACCCTCGGGTGCTCCTGGGTGGGTTTGCTGGGACCCTCGGCAGGGATCTGACTGGACTCCCCTCCCCTCTCTGCTCGTAGAGGCACGAGGCTCCCTAAAAGATGGGTGACTGGGGCTTCCTGGAGAAACTGCTGGACCAAGTCCAGGAGCACTCGACCGTGATCGGGAAGATCTGGCTCACCGTGCTCTTCATCTTCCGCATCCTCATCCTGGGCTTGGCCGGGGAGTCGGTGTGGGGGGACGAGCAGTCGGATTTCGTGTGCAACACCAAGCAGCCGGGCTGCACCAACGTCTGCTATGACAAAGCCTTCCCCATCTCCCACATCCGCTACTGGGTGCTCCAGTTCCTCTTTGTCAGCACCCCAACCCTGATTTACCTCGGCCACGTTGTCTACCTCTCCCGGAAGGAGGAGAAGCTGAAGCAGCAGGAGAGCGAGCTGCGCGCTATCCACAGCAAGGACCCGAAGATCGAGCAGGCCCTGGCAGCCGTGGAGAAGAAGATGTCCAAGATCTACGTGACGGAGGACGGGCGGCTGAAGATCCGAGGGGCGCTGATGTGGACGTACCTCATCAGTGTGATCTGCAAGAGCATCTTTGAGGCCGGTTTCCTCGTTGGGCAGTGGTACCTGTACGGCTTCTCCATGGTGCCCCGCTACGTCTGCAAGAGGGACCCCTGCCCCCACCAGGTGGACTGCTTCATCTCCCGCCCTACCGAGAAGAGCATCTTCATCATCTTCATGCTGGTGATGGGCCTGATCTCCTTAATCCTCAACCTCCTGGAGCTCTTCCACCTCTGCTGCAAGAACCTGCTTAGCAACATCAAGAAGGTGTCGGGGCCGAGCCGGGACACCTTTGCCGACGACATGGCCTTGGGTCCCTACCCGCCCAAGCACTACCCCTTCCTGCCCATGGCCGAGAGCCACACGCCGCCCTACCAGGCCTACAACAAGCTCTCCAGCGAGCAGAACTGGGCCAACTTCCACAACGAGGAGAACCTGGCGCTGGGCAGCGGCGCCAGGCCGCTGTCGGACCCCTACGCCCCCAGGGCTGCCGAAACCCCCACCCCGGAGGAGAAGCTGTGCAGCCGGCCCGGGAGCTCAGCCTCCAAAAAGCAATATGTCTAGTGCCGGGCTGGCCCCGGCCGGGCCGAGGGGACCTGCCGTGGTCCCTCGTGCCCACGAAGGTGCTGGCTGTGGGCAGGCAGCTGCCTCCTGCCTGGACGGGCCCCTGCCTGCCCCTGGGACGGGATGCTCAGGAGCGGGGCTGAGCGCGGCCCCGGAGCGGAGCCTCCGCTCTCTCCTGTTTTCCCCACAGACCCTGCAAGGAAGGAAACGTCAGAAAGTTCCGCGGGACGGCGTGTGCCTCGCCGTGGGAAAGGGAGAAATCCCTCGACCCGTGGAGCTGGGAACAGGCTGTCCCCAGGGCTGCGCTGGGAGGCTCCTGCCCTCGGGAGCCTCGGACCCGGGGGTTTGCCCGAGCCCCCGCCGGCGTGAGAGCC